GGGTCCAGGATAATGGAGGGGGGGAGGCAGAAGAGGAACGGGAGAGTCATCCCTGGTGTAGGGAGGGGGGATGGAAAGGTTTTTCCGGGACCCAGGAGAAGTAGGAGGGGGTCTGCTCGGGCGACCACGAGGTGTGAGCAGGGCACCACGCAGGACCGGAATGAGAAGGGAGAGGGGCCCATCTGGCAGCGGGCGGGCGTGGGGAGGGAGTGCACCCCGGCCCGAGGGTAAGAGCAGGAGGGGCGGTGTGGGACCGGGCGGGGTGGGGGGACCCGTGGAAGGGAGAGGGCGACCGTGTGAGCAAGTCGCGGAGTGGAGGGTAGGGTATCGGCGGCACCACGGAGAGGCCGGTCCCGACCGGGAAAGGGGGTCTGCCTCGGCAGCGAGGGACGGGTCCGCTCACCTTGGGTTTGTACAGCCACTTTCGGAACCTGTTCATCATCGCCGCGCCGGCCCGGCCCGGCCCCGGCGGCCCTCACCTCCGCAGCGCTGCGCCTGGGCCCGGCTGCGGCGCGGGGCGGGCGGAGCAGGTGCGCCGGCGGGAGATGCTCGGAGAGCTGCGCGCAGCACTGACCCGCAGACCGCGGTGGGCAGGCGGACGCGCGGACTGACCAGGCACGGGGTCGCCGGCTCCTCGCGGCTCACTGACACCAGGTGCCTCGGCCGGCCACCGCCGCCCGAGCCACACATGCGCCGACGCGCCGCGAGCCCCAGGCCAGCCGCAAGCCACCGAGGCTGCCCAATCCGGTCGCGGCGCCGCGCCGCGCCCCGCCCGAGGCGCGCTCCCCGGCACGCGCCCGGCGCGCCCGGAGGGGCCGAGAACTACAAGTCCCGACGGGCATTGCGGGGAAAGAGGGGCCCTGGATGTGGCGACCTCTCTAGGCTGCGGGCGCTGTGCATTCTGGGGGTTGTAGTCTTCCCTCGGACGGCTCCGGAGCGTACACTGGTTGCTAGGTGACAACGCCCAAACTGCGCCCCAGCACCGCCCCTGCCCTGAGGGTTACCGGGGTTCCGGCGGAGCAGAAGTGGAAGGGGAGATCCACTGCTATTCCTCGGTCCACTCGCGCCCGCCAGCCCTGCAATTGCTGTGCAGCGGGCAGTGGCGAGAAGGGAGGTTCCGGAGCGCCCGCGGAGCCTGCTGACAGGTACAGGGAGAAGGGAAGCAGGCGAGACCCGAAAGGGGGGCGAGGCGCGTCCCCTCAGCACCAGCGCCACCCACGTGCAACTTCCCTAGATCTGCGGGCCAGTTCTCGTCTTTCTTGTTTCCCATCTTCTAGCTTTCGCTCACCACCTTTTTGGTTTTCTTCCCAGCTCCTTGACTAAAGTTAACGGTGCTTTTTTTTTTTTTTAATCGCCACAATAAACGATGATTTTTCAAAAGATATTCTCCCGTATTCACTGCTTCCCCTAGCCATGCCCTAATTTGGATCCGTAAAAACAATCAACAAAATCTGAGAATCTATTAAGTGCTAAGCAGAAAGCTAAAAACAAGTGTGTGGTCTCACTTGAAACTCCCTCTGGTACCTGAAGAATCAGGCACAAAGAGGCTGCTGCGCTCTGGCTGTAGGAGGGGACCCTCCCCCAACCGCCTTGCGCTTTCCTCTGCCCCCACCCAGCAGCACTTCGGGTACGTGCAGCTTTAGGGTGCACAAGAGGGAGGTAACTCTCTCTTGATAGAGAATTTATTCTCTGCTGCTCATGTTATCACTGGCCCAGCGTCCAGGTGCTCACATGGGCTGGACTCCCTGGCCCTTCTATTCCATTAGAGTCAATGTGAGTCTAGGCACAGGCAGCCGTCTGAGATTTCCCTGAGTGTTGGCAGTCCTCCGGGTTCGTTTTTGAGTACCTGATTGATCCTCCCCACTCCCCTCCAGCTACCACCCAGTCACTGCTCCCCTAAAGAGCAAAACCCCTATGGAGTTGCGTCTTATCTCCAATTCATTTCCACCTTTTCTCTCTTGAGCCTGCTCCAATCAGATTTTCACCCAGCCCCTCCTCCCAGGCTCTTTGTCTAAGTCATACTTGACCTCCATGTTGCTAAATCCAACTATGAGAGCTCAGCCCCGCCTCTTCCGGGAACAAGTGTCCCAGCTGAGTACTCCCCTCCTGGACACACTGTCCTTACTTGGCTGGAACAGATCTCACTCTCTGCCTCTCCTGCTGTGGCTGCTCCTCTTGAGTCTCCTTGGCTGGCATCTCCTTGCTCCTCAACATCCTGACACTAGAGCCCCGGGACTCGGTCCTTGGAAGTCCCTCTATCCACCCTCTCCCTGGATGATTTCCTGCAGTCACATGGTTCAATAAACAACCGTTTTCTCCTGACCTTCCCAAACCTGCATCTCCAGCCTGAACCTTGCCCTGGGACTCTAGACCCCTTTCCCTGTTTTTTGCCAGTTGGATGTCTACCAAATTCCCCCAAACAAAACGTGTCCAACTGCACTCCCAGTCATCCCCCATAAATCCTGCCCTTCCCCCAGCCACTGCTTCCAGTCTGAGAACTTGGGTAGACTCTCTGTGGGTGTGCCCTTGGCCTACTCCAAGTCTGCGACTATTGTTGCTGCTCAGAGGCTGACTTCAGGGAAATGGGTGTATAGTTAGGACTAGATTCAGCTTTATGCAACGAAAAATTTCAACATCATAGTGACCCACACAAGATTATTGGTGTGTCCATAAAATAGGTCCATGGGGAGGCAATCTTGGGAGATATGACACCCCCAAAAGTCATCAGGGATCTGGGCTCCTCTGGCCTGCTCTTCTGCCATCTTTGCATGTTTCCTCGTGGTCCAGAATTGCTGCCTGAGTTCCTCCCATCACCTCTGGAGTCCAGGCAGCAGGGTGGAAAAGAGAAGAAGTGTATGCTCCTCCCTTTCAAGGAGACTTTCCGGAAGTCTCAAACTCTTCCACTTCTTGGCATACCTAGATGCCAGGAAGGCTGGTCCCCCCCCCCCCCCCCCCCCCCCCCCCCCCCCCCCCCCCCCCCCCCCCCCCCCCCCCCCCCCCCCCCCCCCCCCCCCCCCCCCCCCCCCCCCCCCCCCCCCCCCCCCCCCCCCCCCCCCCCCCCCCCCCCCCCCCCCCCCCCCCCCCCCCCCCCCCCCCCCCCCCCCCCCCCCCCCCCCCCCCCCCCCCCCCCCCCCCCCCCCCCCCCCCCCCCCCCCCCCCCCCCCCCCCCCCCCCCCCCCCCCCCCCCCCCCCCCCCCCCCCCCCCCCCCCCCCCCCCCCCCCCCCCCCCCCCCCCCCCCCCCCCCCCCCCCCCCCCCCCCCCCCCCCGTGCTCTGGGGCCCTTGGCCTGCCACCTGCTGTCACCTTCCTGGAAAATCTCCGGCTTCCCAGTCCCAAGCCTGCCCCTTTCTGGGCTCCCTCCCCGTGCCGGGTGCAGGGCCCCCCCATCCACAGAGCCATCATTCTTCCTGGTTGGAGATGGGTTCCCTGAACCCTGGTGCCCAGAGTTACCACTGGGGAGCCCGAGGCTACCCTGCACCCCTCCTGTCCCTTCCTGCTTCAGGGCGCTCAGGAACCCTGTCCATCGATTCTGGGATATTCCCTTGCGTTATGTCTCTCCCATTTTTCTGAAACTCCTGTTAATTGGAATTCAGATTTTTTGGAGTGGTTCCGCGATTTTCTTGGTGTTTTTCTCCGACTTCCTACATCTTCATCTTTTTCTGCTCTCCGGGAGATTTCCTCAGCTTTATCTTCTGCCTCTTCTATTTATATCTTTACTTCTGCTGTCATATTTTAATTTCCAAGAACTCTTTCTTTTCCTGCAGATGTTTCTTGGATACCGTACCTTCTCCATCTCTCAGAGGTGGTATAGTTTTTTGTTTCCAGGTTTTTCCTGCTGTGTATGTTGTCTGCTTTCTCCTACTTCCTTTTTTACTGATTTCTGTTTCCATGTTTGGTGTCAGAGGCTCTCTGCAGTGTCTGATGGCATTTGGCCTTCGTTCTCTTTCAAGTGATGCTAGGGGGGACTCACCCAGTGGACCGTGATTGGCTGGGATTGGCCATCTCATTGGTGACCCCCAGCGTCAGTGTATGTGGCTTTTGTTTTTTCACTCAGTCTCCATCCTGGAGGGCCTCAGTCTGGGTGCTGCCATCCAGAGCCTTTCCAGCTTGTTGGGTGGAGAAGTGGTGCCCCTGCTGTCCCCAGGGCACTAGCAGTCTGGCTTTGCCAATAGCTGGGGCGCAAGAAGCCAGCAGCACGGTGACCCAGGGAAGCTGCTCGATCAGTGTGGAGCAAGGTTGGGGGATGAGAGAGGAGCTCCTGGGGGGCTTGGCCACCCTGCCCTGAGGACAATTTGGGGGTCACCTGTTAGAACCATTTCCTGCGGTCCCATTCCTACCCCAAGCGGCTTCTCCAGGGTCTGCCAAAGAAGGGCTCTGAGCAAGCCAGTCTCCTGGAGCTTGTCTGTTTCTGGAATGCTCAGGCCTGGCCATTTACCAGCTATGCATCCCCTCTGGGTGCTGGTTACCTCATCTTTAAAATGGGGGTGTTGAACGTGGTGACCCAAGGATTCTTCTTGCCCAAAACTTTTGTGTTTAGGTCCGCCTCTCCCTCCGAGCAGGGCCTGTTGAGTCATCCACCACCAAACCCCAGTTGGGCTGAGGGCCACTCAGGCTGACTCACAAGGTGCCTCCACTCTCTGGCCTGGCCTCTCCCAGGGGTCATCCCCACCCGTGCACAGCTGGAGGGCTTGGGGGCACGTGGGGCAGCCAGGGAGCCTCCAGGGGCAGGGCAGAGAGGGCTGCTGGGGCTATGGGTGAGTGGGAGCCTGGGGGCGGGCTCCCCAAGGCCTGCAGGGACACAGTCCAGGAAGTGGGCCTGGAGTTCCCCCCGCCGGGGTCCGCACTTCCCTCCAACACTCCTTGCCCCACCAGGTCCCAGGCTCCCTGGTGGACCTCCTGTCAGTTTGGTGAAGGTCCTTCACCACCTGCTGAGCTGACAGCCCAGGGTGCGTGGAGGGCGTGACGTGTCACGGTTTGCTTTTAGGGTCCCACCTGGGAAGATGGCCTACTATGGAAAATGCATTGAAACTGTGATTAAGCTACTGGACCAATTTAAACCTAAGAAGGACAGTCCTGAGCAGTTCCTGGAGGCTGCGGCCACCTCCCTGCAGGTAGGGTCCGAGTGGTGGCTCAGGGCTCACGGGGAGGCCGTAGCAGTGACACCTGTCAGGAGGTTTTTTGCTTTTTGTTTTAATTTATTTATTTTACTTATTTATTTTTGGCTGCGTTGGGTCTTCATTGCTGCTGTGCGCGGGCTTTCTCTAGTTGCGATGAGCGGGGGCTGCTCTTTGTTGCCGTGCGCGGGCTTCTCACTGCGGTGGCTTCTCTTGTTGCGGAGCACGGGCTCTAGGAGAGCGGGCTTCAGTAGTCGTGGCACGCAGGCTCAGCACTTGTGGCTCGCGGGCTCTAGAGCGCAGGCTCAGTAGTCGTGGCGCACGGGCTTAGTTGCTCTGCGGCATGTGGGATCTTCCCGGATCAGGGAACGAACTTGTGTCCCCTGCATTGGCAGGAGGCTTCTTAACCACTGCGCCACCAGGGAAGCCCTGTCAGGACCTTTTTAGTTTCATTCCTAACAGCCACTTTCCTTTCTTCACGAGGAGAGGCCCAAGGCGAGATTCCCAGCTAGCCAAAGGCTTACGTCAGCTCTCACTCTGAATCTCAGGTGCCCTTCAGGGATGGGACCCCCTCTTTGCTTCAGGAGCCATTCCTAGCTCCCAGAATGTGCATCAGACTACTCTCGTGACAAGGGAACATGGGCGCCGTAACTCGGGTTGCGTCTGTGGGGTCATCCCATCCTCAGCTGAAGGTGGACGGGAGTCAGCCTCGCAGGCACCTCAGCTCAGCACCCTCCACTGGGGCACATCTTCGTCCCCCAGGGCAGGGATGTGCGTGGGGCAGAGGGGCCACACCTGGAAGAGCTACTCGGCTCTTGTTCCCGTGCCCCGGGGGTCCCTGTCCTACCACAGCCCACCCCACTTCAAGCATATGCAGAGAGACCCTGGGCTGAAGTCTCTGGGCCCAGGTCTGTCCTCGCTCTAGCACCTCGGAGGCCTCCCTATGACTTGACCCCGCATCCATCCGTCCATAAAGGACAGGTGCCAGGAACAGGTACGCGTTGCAGGGGTGCCACCTTCAGGACTCCGGGCCGTGGACTCCGTTGGACGGGGCATCCAGAGGAGACTAAGTCCACCCAGGCAAGCGCTCGGGGATTACCACTCGGCCTGCTGCCCCCATCCCCCTCGCCTGCGCCCCCTGGAAGGAGGAGCAAACGGGGTCTTAGGGGATGTTCGCCGTGAATTGCCAGCTGCAGCCTTCCCTTACTCTGCTTAACAAGGCCTGTGAGCTGCTTTGCTGGCCCTGGGATGTGACTGTGGCCAGGCCCCACCCGCATACACCTGCAGGGGTGTGGCCTCTGCTGTGCCGAAGACAGACCTGCCTTCCCTTTCTCCATCAGCCGGCTTGTGGTGCAGCAGCTGGAAAACCTGGTTGGGAGGATGGGGGGCAGGGCCCCGGCAGTGCACACAGATCTGGGGAGTCTGGAAACCAAAGCCTCTCTCACAAGAGAAAGCTTGGGACTGCTGCCCCAATCCCTGCTCCCCTGTGTCATTCAGAAAAGGATGTCCCTGCCAGCTGGAGCCTGGCAGTCAGCACGGACTGGGGCATGGGCTGCACCTCCTCAAACCCTCCCCTGAGACCCTAAGCATTGGAGGGGAATGATGAAAACAGCCAAGGCCAGGCCCATCCACAATCCTTCTCTTTCCCAGTCTGAGCTGGCCTTGCACAGTTCAGCACAGCCCCATCCTGGCTGGCCTGCCCCTCCCCACCTGCAGGCCCGGCCCCTTTGGCTACTCCTGTCTGTCCGGCCTCGCTCCCCTCAGTGGGTCTTTCCCATCACCCACAGCTGCTATGCATTCCCTCATCCGAAAAAAAAAGACCTCTCTACTCCAGTTCCCTGTGTCACCCACGTTTCTCACCCTCCATTTCCAACGAGACTCCTTGGTGTCCTCTCTGTCCCCAGCCACGGCCCCCCAGGCCCTGCAAGGCACCCCTTACCGCTCAGCAAAAACGGTAATGTCCTTATTTCTCCAGAATAATTACTGAAAGTGGGTTTGTTACAACAAAGAGTTTGGGATGGTAATTCCCTGGTGGTCCAGTGGTTAGGACTCTGAGCTTCCACTGCAGGAGGCACAGGTTCGATCCCTGGTCAGGGAACTAAGACCCCACAAGCCACGCAGCACAGCCAAAAAAAAAAAAAAACAAAGTAGCTTGGAGATTCTTTTCCCCCATCCAATGGATTATTAATAGTAAATGAGCCCTAGCTGTCACCGGTGAGCCATGGCATGATGACAGACATGTGCAAGGCCGTGGTGCGGGAGGCACCACGCCAGCACGGCCCCCAACCCAGCGGCGTCCTGAGTCTTCCAACAGGGCCATCTGCGTCTTTGAGATGCGCCTATGCTGGACGGACGGAGAAGCACTTCTTTTACAGATGCACCTGTCTTTTACATCCCTTCAGAAAGCCATCCTAAGTCCAAGTGGAATGGTACCCTGGAAACTGACACAGTTTGGACAACGTACCTTTATTTCCAGCTGTCAGAAAATTGGTGCCGTACACCGCTCTTGTTAGGCCAGGGCTCAAGACTGCCACCTGGCAGAGAATTACACAGCACATAGACCCACTGGCAGAGAGTCCGTGGAAGGGCAGGGCTGTGGATTCAGCTGGGTCCCCCAAAAAGAAATTTTGACGTCCTCACCCCAGTTACCTGTGAATGTGACCTTATTTTGAGTTACCATCTTTGCAGATATAATTAATAATCTCAAGATAGGGAAAAGTGCAAGGATTTGCGGATCGGGGGCAGGATGTGGTGACTCTCCCTCTCTAGACTGAAGCCTGGGAACCCCTCCCCTGACACACACACACACACACACACACACACACACACACACACACAGAGCAGCCTCCCAGCCCTCTGACGGGGGTTCCCTCGGCATGGTCCCGATGGCATTTCTGCACAGAGAACATATGTCAGTGGGAGATTTGGTCTAAGATCAGAAAGGGATCCATTTACCGTTGAGAGAAAGCTCTCCATCAGCAGCACGGTGCGCGAGGGGGCCTGAGGTGTGGGGAGCAGCCTCTCCAGACGCCAGTCTGCGGAGTGGTTGTAGAAACAGAAGTGGCCTGACGTCTGGGAACAGCACTGAGGACCCGGCTGGGGGCCTGGAGTTGGAGAAAGGACGGAGGCAGGAGGGGGCGGCACCAGCGACAAGGCACTGCTGCCAGCCAGCACCTGGCCCTCAGGGGGGAGCAGGAGGGAGGAGGTGCTTCCCACCTTGCCTCCCTCCTGCCCCAGGCTTTGCCCACCCTCACTGGTTAATATCTCTTTGGAACAAGCCTCATTTCATTAGTGCACCACCTATAAGGGGGATGGAGCCTGGTGGGCGTCACTTCTCCGGGCTACCCAGCACCACGGCTCAGGCACCAGGACCACCAGGTTGGGTGTAGGAACGTCCAGAGAACTGCCCGGGCCTGCAGGACAGAGGTGGGGTATGATAGGCACAGCAGGCAGCTTGGGGTACCAAGAAAGCCCATGAGGTCTGAGTAGCCCTCGCAGAAGGGTCTGGCTTTGAGAGAGATTCCCTGGGGGTGGGAGGAGGGGTGAGAGGGAGATCTGGCCACTCAGCAAACAGTGGGCAGGAGGGCAGGCGAGCTCTGAGCAGGGGAATGAAAGGCTCAGCCCTGGGCTGGCAGGAGAGGTGCCCGGCAGCTGGTCAGTCAGACAGTCTGGGGGTGAGGCAGGGGTGGGGAAAGGCCGGTTCCCCAGCCCGAGTGAAAGGGGTGGAGGGGGGAAGGTGGGCAGGGAAACCGGAATGGGCTTGTGCAAGAGGTTGGGGAAAAAGCAGGAGTGGGTGGAGCCTGGAAACACCAGCCCAGGTCCCTGTGGGAAGGCCCAGGGTGGCAGGGTGGCGGGATGGCAGCAGCCAAGTCCTAGAAAGCCTTGTTTCACTTTCTAGTCTGTAGTGTCAGAGAAAACCTGGGCTCAGGAAATATTTTGTATTTTAATATATATTTTTAAATACCTGATATGTTGAAATCAAAGATCTAAAACTCAAAAGGTTCAAAATGGTACCAGCGGGGGTCTCACTCCCACACCGGCCCTCCCAGGAGACCAGCGACCTGTGGTTCCTTCCAGAGACCGTCCAGGCCTGTCTTGCATAGATAATAGATCTGGAAAAATTTTGTTTAAGCTCTAAATTTTACGTTTAAAAGTTATATATAATTATATATGTTCTTTCGGTTTTTTTTTTTTTTTTGTGGTACGCGGACCTCTCACTGTTGTGGCCTCTCCCATTGCGGAGCACAGGCTCCAGACGCGCAGGGTCAGCGGCCATGGCTCACAGGCCCAGCCACTCCGCGGCATGTGGGATCTTCCCGGACCGGAGCATGAACCCGCGTCCCCTGCATTGGAAGGCAAACTCTCAACCACTGCGCCACCAGGGAAGCCCTATATATGTATTTTTAAAATCTTTTTCAAAACGGTAGTGCATTGTAACACAGTCCTGCCTTTGCTTTTTTCACTTAACGAGATATCCTGGCGACTGTTCCACGTTCTTATCATGAAGCCATAAGCATACTTCTGTCTGGCTGTGCCAGAGCCATCGCAGCCATCCCGCATGGACGGGATCATGGCTGTTTCCAGTCCTTTACTGTTGCAAATCGCTGTGGGACTGACTGGCCCACTTGTCCCGCTGCACCTGGCCAGATGCACCCCGGGTTACGTCCCAGAAAACACACGTGTGAGAGTATTGGCTCTCATGATTTCAAAAGATCTTTCCAGTTGACCCTCCACAGAGACCTCCGCATTGACACTCTACCTGGAAGGTGGGGAGTGCTTGTTCCCCTATGGCTTGCTTACGTAGCGTGCTAGCAAATGTTATCTTTGCCAACCAAATAGGTGGGAAAAGGCAGTTGGTGTAGTTATAATCAGCATTTTTCCTGTTATATACATATGTATATATTTTTTTAAGACAAAACCCATACTTTTATTACAGTTTATTTATTTATTTATTTTATTTATTTATTTATTTTTGGCTGCATTGGGTCTTCGTTGCT